CCTCTTATAGAGTCACTGCTACTACTCGCATAGACTGCACTTTCACTGCTACGCCCGTTTACTACTATTCAGTAAACATCCAGCGTTATAACTCTGCATTTTGATAATGCTGCTTTTTTTTTTTTTTTTTTTTTTTTTTTTTTTGAGGGAGAGGGAATAAATATTTTGTAACTTCATTAACAATGAATTTTAGATGTGTTAAGGAAAAAAGTCAAATAACGAAAATAATTGTTAGGTTTCTAAGGTATTTCTATCGCCTTCTTAGTATGTTTTCGTGGTAGCAATAGTTCGTGGTTAGCACGCTCGATGCAGATTCGAGAGGTCTGTGGTTCGAGTCCGGCGAGGGCATTGCTCATTTTTCATCTCTCTCAGCATCAAAAATCCTAATGTCACTACAGTGGCGCCCGAACTTTAATGGTGAAAGATGATTCTTCACCACTAGGATTTGGAGATTGGGTCCCCTAAAAACGCTACTCGCCCTTTAAAAGAGCGGGTATATAAGATATTTCCCCCGTCTTCTTAGCATGCCTTCGTGGTGTAGTGGTCCAGCACGCTCGACGCGAATTCGAGAGGTCCGTGGTTCGAGTCCCAGCGAGTGCATTGCTCATTTCTCATCTCTCTAAGCTTCAAAAATCCTAATGTCTCTACAGTTCGCCACACAAAAGTCACAAAACCATGTCTAAAGTCAACAACCAAGACAAAATTTTATGACCAAAATTTCCATAGCGTGACAGCATCAGCACAATTTATCAATAAAAGAACGGTTCATTTTAATCATTTATTCATATATGAATACAAGATGCGCACAAAAAGTAACCGAAAAAATGTTTAGACATAATTATTTAATTATGGCAAAGCAAACAAAGGCTATCTGCCTAAAGGGAGGGATGCGTTCGTGGAGGACTTTCTAAGGCAGCGTTTCCCAACCTTTTTTGGCCAAGGCACACTTGTTGTGGGGAAAAAAATCACGAGGCACACCACCATTAGAAAATGTTAAAAAATTAACTCTGTGCCTATATTGACAATAAAGTAATTCTCTTGAATAGGAATCAAATAAGCACAAAGAAAGTATTTTATAATTACTTTATTATGAAATATTAAGTAAACAGAATAGTGAAAAGTATAAAATACTTTCAGTGCGAAACCTGGGCCTGTTTGGCTGAACACAAAGCTGATATCTGGCTGGAATCGAAGAAAGACACACACCGTAGCTCTTCGTCAACAGTTCTCAGTCTCTCTCTGTATTTGGTTTTCATAGCAATCATGCATGAAAAGCTAATCTCACACAGATATGTAGTGGAAAAAGGGAGCAATGTCAAAATAGCTTTGTTTGCCAGAAGGGGGAACTCCTTGGCAGTATCCAACCAAAAACTGTCCAAAGGTAGATCAGCAAATCTTAGCTTGCAACCACGATTTTGTCTCAGTTCAATTAGTTCCTCCTGCTCCTGTAAAGTCATTTCCTTTCCAACAACTGATGCTGAGCTATAAGGGTCCCTAACCCAGTCAAGCCATTCAGTGGAGACTGAAGAGAAATAAAATGACAACTTCTCCTCAAGAGTTTTTAAATGCTTAACTATTATCTCACACAGTGCAGCAGTGTGAACACCTTGCCATTGCATGGTGAGTGTGAACATTTCAAGATTGCCACTTTCCACGTGTTGATGCCAGAGTTGCACCTTTGAACGGAATCCATTTATTTTATCTGTACTTGTAAGCAGGTTTTCATTTCGGCGGCCTTGCATTCGGGTGTTCAATTCATTCAGATGATGAAATATATCTGCCAGGTATGCCAGCCTTGCACACCACTCATCACTTGCAAGCTGCTTTGCGTAATCTGACCCCTCATTTGTCAGAAACACTTTAAGTTCCTCCCGCAGCTCATACACACGAACCAAGACCTTGCCACGCGACAACCACCGGACCTCCGTATGAAACAGCAAGGTTTATGCTTTGCTCCCATCTCCTCACACAAAGCTGCAATTATGCGACTTTTCATGGGTCGTGACTTTACAATGTTTACCATGCGCACAACATCATCCAAACACATGAACTAAGGCTGATGGTAAAGTCTTGGCTACGAGGGCCTCGCGGTGTAAAAAACAATGCGTAATAATCACATCTGGATTTCTTTCCTTCACTCTGCTTACAAAGCCTTTGGTGCGCCCGACTATGGCTGCAGCTCCATTGGTGCAGACACTTGTGCAGTTTTCCCACTTAAGTCCTCCTTGTTCAAGGTATTCTGATGTGACCCGAAAAATTTCTTCTCCTGTTGTTTTTTCTGGCAATACCTTGCAAAAAAAAAAAGAAGTTTTCTCTAATTGCATCACCATCAACAAAACGCACATTAGCTAAGAGTTGAGCATGTCCACTGATATCAGTAGACTCATCAAGTTGCAATGCAAATTTCTCACTGATACGGATCTTTTCCAAAACCACACTTTCGATGTCTGCAGACATATCATTAATACGTCGGTAAATTGTGTTGTTTGAGAGAGGGACTTTGGCTATTTCCTTTGCTGCTTCAGGTCCGAGCATCTCCTCTACAATAGCTTTGCAGGCAGGAAGTATTAATGTCTCTGCCACAGTGTGCGACTTTTTTGTCTTGGCTATAAGTTCAGCAAGTTGATAGCTAGCTTTAAGAGCTCTTTCATTTTGTTGTTTTTCTCATAAAAGTTGCCTGTTTCTCCATGTTGTCACGCAGGCGAACAAAATAGTCCACATTCTTGTTTTGAAGCAAAGGGTGTTTTGTTTGGAGATGGCGTTTAAGTTTGCTTGGGACCATAGCACTGTTAGCTAGCTTTTCACCACACACCACGCACAGTGGAGTTGGTTTGTGTTCATCTCCAGTGAAAGTAAATCCAACTGAAATATAGCTTTCGCTATATTGCCTTGCGCCAGAGAATTTAACCATCTTTGCTTTCTTTTGTCCCCCACTCATACTCGGGCTCTCATCTGGCTCCAGATTTTGTTCAGAATCCAGTTCTTTCCTTTTCAAAAACTTGTCCATCACTGCAGTATCAGTGTCTCTCTCCTCACAGCAGCCATTGTCTCTCTGACACTGTGTGAGGCATCTGCCTGCGTCTCATGGGGGCGGGGACACGGCGGACACTTGTCAAGATTGGCAGGGGGAGGAGTTATAGAACTGCACAGCGCCGTGACCACCTATGACACTTGCGGGGGGAGTGACGGGAGGAGTTATAGCGGGCGAACAGCACCGTGACACCCAGACCCGGCGGCACACTGGTGTGCAGCGGAACAGCGGTTGAACCGCTGTTCTAAGGGAAACTGGCTCGTATACACAATACACATGGGGAAACCATGAAAACGCCCATGCATCCAGCCCGTTCGCGGGTTTCGAACCTCAGACTGAACTACCAGTGTTAAGCGTCTTTACCGCTCGGCCGCTGATGGGCTATTTAATTAAGGAACGACCATCTAAGTTTAGAAACTTTAACAGCAATTTAATTACTGGCGTCGTATCTTTCATGTTACTCCCGATTGGCAACCTACATGATTTTCAAAGTCAAAGTTTCAATATTTGATTTTCGGAGGGAGGGGAAGTTTTTTTCAGTTTTGGTCCATTATCCTAACTATATTTACTTCGATTCTTTATTTTTCCATAAAAGCGAAAAATTTATGCATGTTTGTAATCGTGTAAAGGAGGTCATAGGAATTTATTTTCCTTGAAAAAAAAATAAAATTCGAAACCTCACCACCAGGGGGGGAAATGGCGCTGTATGCAATATTGTTAAACGAAATATGGGTCGGAATCTAACTTAACCTTTTGTTACACGGGTTTAATATGTTGTATACCCTTAAGAAACTTTGAAGTAAGCAAATTACCATTTAAAGGCGTTAAATTCGATAAAAGTCGAGTGCGCCATCCGTGTAAGTGAGAAATTCGTCCGTGAAAACCACGAATTAGCGATTAGAAAATGTGAGATCGCAAATCACTCGCACAAGTGCGTACAATCTGGAAATCGTTTTCTTACAGATCGCTAATTTGTAATTTTTGAAGCCTGAATTCGGCCCTAAAACATGAAGATACTGATTCAAAACGCTTTTAATCGATTTGGGCCAAAGAAATCCCTCATGTTATCTATCTAGTTCCATTGCATTCTCCTACTGCATTCGATTGCATAGCAGTCATTCCACACCATTTAGTGTTGAATGACAGCTAGTTTTATAAGTGAACCATTTTTCTCTGAAGAGCAATCGGCAACTGGACCACTGTGATTGCAGCTCACTTAGAGTCAATGTTAAAATGTTTGATTTTCTCAGTCGAATTATTTGAAGATTCAGGAGTTTATCCAGTGATGTATGCGGATGTCACCTAAAGATGTTTTTTTTTTCCTTCTGATGAAAGAGCGGCCGAGCGGTAAAGTCGCTGAACACTGGTAGTTTGGTCCGAGGTTCGAATCCCGCGAACGGGCTGGCTGCATGTGTAACGTGTATGCGAGCTAGCTTCGCTTAGAAAGTCCTCCACGAAGGCATCCCTCCCCTTAGACAGATAGCCCTAGTGTGCTTTGTCGTAATTAAATAAACCAAAACTTCTTGATGAAACTAGTCTTTCCTTTCATCTCATACCTTTAAAATGTTTAGCCTCTAAAGACCCGGGATTCGAACCCCGGAGTGAACTACCAAGTTCAGCAACTTTACCGCTCAGCCGTGTGTGGGCTTTTATGAAATGGAAGGCGATAATTTTATTTAAAATGATTGTCAGAAATACCAAGATATTTCGAAAAGTTGGATGCTTTTTAATATACTTGCAGAATGCCTAAAGAAAAAGAGCAAGAATAGTAAAAAGTAGAATGCCTGAAGAAAAAATAAATTTTTGCGTAAAATTTAGTATTTGTATTTTTTTTTTTTTAAATTTAAAACCTTTTAATCTTATAATATATGATTCTTGCTATTTCAAAAATAAAATATTTGACTAAAATATTGAATAACATTTTAAGAAACAAAATGTAGGATAAAATTGTGTAAAGCAATTGGCACAATGATAAAACTGTTTAAAGCAGTGTATGCAAGTCATCGTAAGTTAAAATGTCAGTTATACATCTCTCTCATTTTTATATATAACTTTTCTGAACGGAACATTGAAAGGCATGTTAACTGTGCTTTACTGTATTTTCTCTTTTAATATATGCAGTTTTCAAACGCATCGTAGTCTGGGTTGCAAAGTATTCTTCCAAAAGAAACGAATTCAAATAAATAAAATCAAATTCTGGAAAATTTATATTAATAAATATATTTTAAATGCTCAGTTCGAAGGAATAAATAGAAAATTTTAAAATAATTATCTGAAGAGACAATGCAACACAAACAATTAAAATAAAAGTATAAAAATTTTAAAATTACCTAAAATTATAACTATGACAAAAATATATGTAAAGAAAACTATTTGAAAAAAAAAATAAACGCTGCACCTTTATTTACACAGTTCGAATAGGTAAATAGAAATTTTTAAAACATTTTATTCAAAAAAAAAAAAAATGCAACTTAAACAATTAAAATGAAATTCGAAAAAGAAAAAATTACTTGAAATAATAAGTTTAATTAAAAATATAATATAAAGAATATTATTTGGAAAAAGGAAC